TAGGTATGCAGAGCAGGCTGGAGCCAGAAGACCTGAGTGGTCTGGAGGGTTGATACACTGATAGCAAGTATTCAAGGCTCAGTTACACACATACACCCTCACTAACAGAGTGTATAAACTCTATAAACTACTGACGGAATTACAGCTGACACTTTGATCACTGTACTTAATAATAATAATGATAATTTGGTACAAATACTTTAAACTGACTGGTTTCCTGGTTAATCGCAGGCTTTTGAAGAGTCCTGAATTCTTGAAAGGGGTTTAGTTTGCTTTTCGTTTCCATACTACTATGCTAGAATACAATAGGTAAATAAATCATGGAATAATTACTTAATTCATATTTAGAAGAAAAGTAATTCAGGGAAGGAAAAATAGGGGAAACTGCAGGCTTTTAATTACAGTTTGTTGACTTCCGGACAGTAAAAAAATTACAATGGTCCAGCTTCAAAGTAGCAAATGCATGGACTAGATTCTCAACATCACCCATGGACAAGATATTGCTAATTGTAGCAGTACTCCAGGGATTAAAGAAGGAAATCTAGAAACCTGTTGAATATCAGATTTAAATGAAAGTTCCTGATCAGAAATAACAGCAAAGTTTTTTACTTTATTATCGGAGATCAAGCTGTATGCTAATAGGACAAGTCATTGACTCGCGGATCCACACCACCAGAATCAACAGCAGGGACGTCGGAATGTCATTCAGGCTGGAGAAATGTGGCCGAATGAGGACAAGGAGAGGGAAGGTATTCCACACTGAAGGGATCATACTTCCAGAATGGGGAATAGCAAATATAGAAGATATCTACAAGTACCTTGGAATACCACAGGCAAATGGCAACCACAAGAGGCTACAAAGAAAGCTGCAACAGCTAAATAGCTGCAACAAGTAAGGCCAATTCCTAGAAATCAGCTCTATGGAAAAGACAAGGTCCAGGCAATCAACAGCAGGTGGCTGGTTTAGTGTACAGAAACATCTGTGCAGAATGCAACCTGGAAACACCCAGGTCAAAATGAAAGCAAACTCCCAAGATGTTGGAGAATAAAAGAGTTAAGATCCTGATGGACTTAGAGATCCAAACAGATGAAATGGTTGTTGCCAACCAACCAGACATTGTGATCATTGATGAGCAGACATCCAAAATAATGCAAACATCAGGAAAAAAAAAAAAGGAATTAAAAAAATACCAAGCCAGGAAGGTTCAGGCAACTGTAGTGCCCGTGGTCATTATAGGTGGGGCAGTAACCCCCACACTGGAGAAGTGGCTCCAACAAGCACCTGCAGAAACATCAGAGATCTCAGTTCAATAGCGTGGAGTTCAAAGGACAACTAAGATACTACAAAGTACCCTCAATCTTCCAGGCCTCTGGCAGAGAAGCCACTGCTTAGAAGTACAAGGGGGGAGTGAGACAGCAGTTTTTATAGTAAAATGAATTTGCCTTAAGTCTATTATCTGAGGCCCTGAGAATATCATTAGTGAATTTCACCAGTGTTGTTTCAATGTTATGATGACAGCAGACTGAAACTCTTCAAAAACATTTTTATGATGCAAGTGTTCACCCACGTGATTAGCAACTGCTTTGATTAAAATTTTAGATATAGGTCTATAAGGGGAGGTGGCAGCCAAGTAGTTAGTGCTCACACTGAGCCTGGTTCTGCTGGATGTTTCTTCCTGTTAAAAGGGAGTTTTTCCTCTCCACTGTCGCTACAAACATGCTTAGTGTGAGGGATTGTATTTGAATCAAGAGTCAATGCAATCAACTGGTTTTCCTTAGATAGAAAACTTTGAATCGATTTGACTGGATGATATGGTGAACTGTAAAGTGCCTTGAGATGACTTGTGTTGTGAATTGGCGCTATATAAATAAACTGAATTGAATTGAATTTAGATATTTGAATCCTGAGCTTCTGAGTTCGAGCCCCACAGGTTGCCACTCTGGCTCTCTGAGCAAGACCCTTAACCCCAGACTGCACCTCTGGCACTGTAGCTGGCAGCCTTAAGAAAAAACACAAAAACTATTTTAAAAAATGCTTGCTTTTAGGGGAGAGTGTCTGCCTGGTGGTTAGGACATAGACCTTGGAATCCTGACGTTTGAAGTTCGGGCCCCACAGGTTGCCACTCTGGCTCTCTGAGCAAGAACCTCTACCCCACATTGCTCCCTGAGCACCACATGATGGCAGCCCTCTGCAGATGTAAATTTCTCCAATGTGAGATCAATAAAGTTCAATTATTATTATAAGTGATCAAGAGAAAGATCAAGAGGCAGTTTCCTAAGGGAAGGCTTAATTACAGCTACCTTAAAGGCCTGAGGTACATATCCCTGTAACAGGAATAGATAAATCACATCTAAAATGAAGGGGGAAATCATAGAGGATACTTCCTTAAATAGATTGGTTGGAACTGGATCTGAAATACAGGTTGAAGGCTTAAGTGAAAATAATTATTTTTGCTAACTTTAAAAGCTAAACTGCATCAAAACAGCCAGTGTATTCTCATTATGAGTTCGTATGAAATCGTACGAAAAGTTATGCACCGTAATTTCGTACGTTTTGGACGTTTTTTTCGTTGTATGCGCATGCACATCTGAAGCACCATTCACGAACATAGAATATAAATTACAATTAGCCCTAACCCTGACCATAACCCTAAGATATAAAACAGCAAGCAACGTAGTTGGAGACATGAATAAGTGATGATTGCACTGTTTTTCTGGGGGGTTTTTTCTGTCTGCCAGCGCATGCGCACTGATGTGGGTTTTTGAGGGAAAACGTCCAAAACGTACAAAATAGTGTGCATAACTTTTCGTACGATTTCATACGAACTGATAATGAGAATATGTTGAAACAGCCCAAACACAGTTCTGGTGCTATAGTAATATAAATATGATTTAATTACTTATCCTTTGGACTGTTAATTAATTAGCTGTAAACCACAGAAAAAATATGCCCTTTTGTAATATTAATATTACATTTTCCTCTCTGTACCACTTAATGCAGCCCACCTACCCTCAGCAGTATTTGTACCATAGTTTCTATGTAT